ATTACCACTGAACAGTTTGGTAAATATACAGTGGAAACCAGATTTCCTACTCTTGAGTGAAGTGTTATAGATAAACAAGAAAAGAAAGTCAAAATAATCCATATGGTAATGGATTAGAGTTGGAAATATCAGTAGAATGAAACCTTGCCCCCCGTACTCTTTAAAAATAAATAAATAAATTTTTAAAAAACAAAAAACCAAAAGCAAACCAGAGGATGTTACAAGTAAATGGGATCTGAATGAAAAGAATATATTGGGTAAAACCTGGGAAAATCAGAATAATGTGTACATTAACAATGTATCTATATCGGTTCATTAATTATGACAAAAGTATCATAATAATGGTAAATAAGAAACTGGGTAGGACATATATGGAATTCTCTGTATAATCTTTGAAATCATTTTCTATCTAAAATTGTTCCAAAATTAACACTAAAAGTTTACTGAAAATAAAAAGGGGACTATGTATACATATATATATATATATATTTATATAATGTGAAAATTATTTGGAATCTTCTGGAGATTTTGTTTTTACATGCGGATGTTTGGATCTCAATTCCATTCAATTCCATCAGAAACTCTTAAGGTATAATTTTGGTTCCAGCATCAGATTTTATTTTTTAAAGCTTTTTAGTATTATGAATAACTGAGTTCTATGAATGGAATGATTACTCATAAACAAGTAGAAAACTGAAATAGCTTTAATATCCATAGGAGACAGAGATTCAGACACAAGTGGCTTTTCATGTGAAACTTAAGAAGCCTTCAAGTATTAGGCAATGCTTAGATCGTTTAAGCTTCCTTAAAGTAGAGAATACATTTTTTAATGGTTTTCTTACTCTCTCCAAGAAGTAAACAAAACCTGATATCCAAAATTAGGTAGGGGATCACAAAAATAAGCACCATTAACAATAAATAACAGCCTAATTTCAGTTATAGATGTTACAAGGTGTTGAAAAATAATAATACGTCAGGACAAACTAGTTTTTATCCTAGAAATGATTTTATGGTCCAATACAAGGATATTCATTACCATAATTGACTTTACTAATAGTGTAACCAGATAAATTTAGGGAGACAAGTGTTCCAGACTTCGTATAAAACCTTAGTCATATTAACAAATACAACTGCACAGTAACTAAAAGTTCCTTTGAATTGACAAAATGTATGTTGAATGTAAAAATACATTCTTCATACATAATAATGCTTCCACAAAATCCTTTCCAGATGTTTCTATATTTATAACACCTTCCATTAATTGCATCAAAAATGTTTTCTCTCCCAAACCACCTATCCCTACACTTGGCCTGTACATGTACACTTTTTATTTTTTATTTTTTACTCCATCAGCTTTCAATTACTCTTTTTTCTTTATTTGAACATTAATCCTCTGTGCTTTCGAAAGTAGACTTTTTTGGTATTAGCTTTCCAAAACTCTTTTTTCCCCTAGTACAATGCACAAAGGCTTGGGGGCTAATGAGGCAGCACAGAATCATGACGAAGAGTGGGAAGAAGGGGAAGCTGGAAACTTCAAAAGTATCTTTCATGGATGAGAGAGAAAGTCAAGGAAGCTAATTATCTTGAGTTGATATATTTTGTTCAGCCACAATAGATTAATGGATAAGAACCTTATGGTTATTTTGATATATTCCAAAAAAGCACTTAATAAAATTCGAAACCTTCCCTAGTTAGCATTTCTCAGCTGTTATTGAAGAAAACTTCAACTCAGCATATATTTATTTTTATATAACAAAATGGAATTGTCTTTTTCTCAACTGCTAATTTGATTTGAATACCTTTTTATCATTACTGATTTTTTTTAAGGGACTCAGATGTACAGACTGACTAATCTTCAATGAACAACAACAAAAAAATATATCTCCAATCTGGATTTACTGATTCAGAATCCCTGGTGGGTGGGGCCTGAGCATCTTTGTCTTTAAATAGCCCTCTGGTGATTTTGATGGACATGCTGAAAATCAGAGGGAAGATAGGCAACTACACTATTAATTTCAGTGTGAGGTAGACAGAGACCAAGACTTTAGAAAGCTATGAGAAGTACTATGGAGACACAGAAGTAGGAGACATTGATTCTGACTGAGAAGTCTTCTAAAAAGATGGCATACTATAAAGTCTGTGAAGGATGAACACAAATTAGCAAGGACCATTTATTCTATACCTCATTTCTGAGAAGGAAAAGAGCTTCACTTGAATTGCCTCTTACAGGATAAACCTATAGATATTTGAGGACAGATTTCTTGCCTTTTCCTAAGAAAAATATTTCAGTTTCCTGGTGTTAAGGAATATTTAAACATTAAGCTTGCCAATTCTGATACTGTAGTACCAGAGGTCTAATTTAATCATTAGGTTTCTGATGTTTTGATGGAATTGGTAGAAACTAAGAAAAATGTGTAATATCCCTCTTCTGCTTGTTCTAACATTATTTCCTCTATGCAAAAGAGCCTCTACTGGCCATATATTAGCATAACAGCTCCTCTATAGTTTTACTTTTTTTGTCTCAATGCTATCTGGAAGCATCTTTGATTGGGATGATTAAAGCCCCTCTATGGATCAGCATGTATGCTAGAAAATGTACAGAACATACAATTTTCTTCCTGATATATAAAAAACTAGTGGATTTAATATATGTATATTTCTTTTCCCCTGGGGATTCTCTCTCTCTCTCTCTCTCTCTCTCTCTCTCTCTCTCTCTCTCTCTCTCTCCCTCTCTTTTAATTGACACAATATGTTAGTTTCAGGTATACAACTATATAGTAACATGGAATCACTCATGTCAAGCAGTAGCATGTCAAGGAGTGACACAAGAACCAAGGGCATTGGAGGTAAGATCAGATACTGCTGAAATTAGCACCAGCTGACCACACACTCAGAACTGATGACAAGCAGAAACAGAGGAGGTCTGAACACAGATCAAATCCCTTTAAAAAAAGGAGGATTTTTGCAGCAAATTGTCAGACTTTCAAGATACTGATCCTTTCACATTTGACCACATCAAAAAGCTGCCCCTGAAGCTCTGCCAGATTGCTCTCTGAACAGAACAGACACCCTCCACTCCTTGGACACAATAAGCAGCACACGCCGAGGGCTGACCCCGACACACCTGGGGCTTATCTCAACTGTGTGTTCACAGACTGACTTCATGTTTGGTTCATTAACTTCCTACCGCCTGTTCTACCTCGTTTGCTGTGTAACTTGTCTTGTGCTTTGTTTTGTGTGATGAGTAAGAAGCCGAGTTAAATGAGTAGTAAAATGTTACTGAGTTTGGAATCCTGAAACTGCTTTACAATTATGTCAACCTTGCTTTACAATTGAATAAAACTGACATTGTGGAAAGACACAATTCACGTGTGTGCCTTCATAGCATGTTCGTGACAACAACATAATACTTTGATATTTATATATATTGAGAAATGATCACTGCAATAAGTCAAGGTAAAATCTGCCACCATATATAGTTACAAAATTCTTTTTCTTACGATGAGAACTTTTAAGATCTACTTTCTTAGCAACTTTCAAGTATGCAATACAGTGTTATTTGCTATTGTCACCACAGTGTATATTATATCAGCATATCATTAAAGAAGTACTTTAATTTTTGCAGAAAGGATGAAATCTTCCATATGTGATGGTGGAAAACATCTCTTTTGGGGAAAAATACAGAATCTTGCCTCACACTATACTCACAAATATATGCTTGGTAGATTAATACTAAAACATAGTATTCAAAATGTAATCAAAGTATGGATAATAATTAGTAGACTGTAGTAAAATAGTAATAAAATGCAAAAGTAAATAAGATAGAGGTAGAGATAGAAAAAAATTTAGTAATTTTACAGTGTACAAAACCCACCCAAGGAACACAAAATCTCTAATACCTTAAGGGAAAGGAAAGGCAGGTTCATATCACATCAATGATAATGAACTTGACTGGCCATGGGGTGCCCAGATTGAACATAATTGTTGGATGTGTTTGTGAGGGTATTTCCAGATAAGATTAGCATTTGGATCAGTAGATTCAGTAAAGTAAATTGCCCTCCCCCATGTGAGTGGGAATCATCCAAATCACTAGAGGTGTGAATAGAACAAAAGTAGGAGGCGGGGGTGCGTGGGGAGTTTGACCCTATTTTTCTCACTGCTTGATTAACATCTCATCTCATCTTCTACCTTCAGACTGGATGCACACCTTTGACTCCTCTGGTTCCCAGCTTGGGAAGCCAAACTAAATTCTCCCACCAGCTTTCCTGGGTCTCCAGCTTGTAAATGGCAGATCACAAGACTCAACAGCCTCCATATTTGCTTAAGTCAATTCCTTTCCTTTTGTATATATATTATCCTATTGGTTCTGTTTTTCTGGCGAGCCCTGACTTACACACCACTCAACCAGAGGATGCATTCCTCAGCCTTTCTTATATGTAGAGGTACTCTGATAATTAAATTCTGGCCAATCAGATATAAATAAGCACAACATTGACAATTCTAGGTATACCTCTAAAGAGAAGTTGCTCACTCTTCACTTCCTCTGTCCCCTTCTCTGTCTCCTGTGGGTCATATCTAACATGATGGACAAGAAATAGTTCCTCTGGTATAAGAGAGAAAAGCACTCAGATGGATGGCAGACCAACAAAATAGATGATATATGGGTCTCTGAAAGCTGTCTTGGGGAGAGGCATCTGACCCTCCTGGAATTTCTGCATGAGACAAAAATATACTTTTCATCTGGTTTAAGCCAGTGTTCATAAGTTCCAGTTTGGGAAGATAAAAAGATACTCCGACTAATACAGCAGCAAATGTACATGTACTGAACATGTGACACCACTGATATGTGAAAACATACCATTATAGACAATTTTTATCAGAATTCAAATACAAGTTCATAGTCAAAAGCCACAAATCAACATTCTGATATCTCCAAAATTTTGATAAAGATACATAACCAAAGCAACATTCAGCCCTATTGCATTTTCTTTTTCACTAACCTCCAAAGTAAGAGCCATCTGTCAGCTTCATTTCCTTACTGGATTTTGTGATGACACCAGCAACACCATGTTGAATGAAATACATTTTTTTACCCACAGCTCCTTCTCGTATGATATAATCTCCAGGTTGAAACACCTCAAATCTCAACTTGCTCAGCATGGCAGTCACAAAATTGGGATCCGCATTAGCAAACAGTGGCATTGTAGCCACTAGCTTCCGACAGTTGAAGTTGACTATCTCCTAAAGATGGCAAGGGCAAACAAATATGAAGAGAAATATTAATTATATCAGGAAGAAAACCACATGCTTAAGTTAAAATCTACATATAACATAATATTGCAATTTTAGTTTAGAACCAAAGACACATAAATTCTTATAATCTGCATATCTCTTCAAAGCGAGAAATTATGTTTTATTTATGTGTAGAAATTCTGTATTCCCAGCACCTAGTGCAGTATAGGCATATATTAAACAATCAGTAAATGTGAATTAAATACGTATGCCATACCTTTTATAACTTCCAATTCCTTTACTATATATAAAATTAGAACTTAAATGTGGAAGAGTTTTGGTTTCCCTTTTATCTTGTATGAAGAAAAGAAGCCACACTACCTCCTATTAGCTATAATATTACTGCTTCTGTGCTCCATTGCGTTGAACAATCTAGCTTGCACCTACTGACCAGAATTCTGAAACAAAGGCCCAGCTGCCAGACAACAGCATTTTGATGTTTTTTTCTTCATGTTATTTACATTAAAGTAAGGACGATGTGGGTGTGCAGAGAAAGGTTATACAAAGAAGACTCCAATCTAACTATACTTTATAATTGTCAATTCAATCTGTTTCTGAGTTAGATCAGACGATCACTGTTTCTAAAGCCTCTTGGGTTTCCACTTGAAGTCTTAGAGTGGAGGGGCCATATTTTCTTTTTCCTGAATTGTTTGTTTGTTTTATGTCTGGAACCAGGCCAGTTCTAAACTATAGTTACACATTTGATTTCATTCTGTAGATCTGGTCCAGATTAGACATAGTAGTATCTCTTTGGGCCAAAATAGAGATATGGGACCAAACTTTTTTTTTTAAGATTTTATTTATTGGAAAGAGAGAGAAAGAGAGAGAGAGTGCACAGGCAGGAGGAGAGGTAGACGGGGAAACAGATTCCTGGTTGAGCAGGGAGCCCAATGTGAGGCTTGATCCCAGCACCCTGAAATCATGGTCTAAGCTGAAGGCAGATGCTTAACTGACTGAGCCACCCAGGAGCTCCTGGGACCAACCATTTTTTATCTTGCAAGTTAGATGTGTTAAGAGATAAACAGTAGGAATTAAATTTTACCACAATGCCATTTCTCAAAAATCTCTTTTCCAATGAGCCCCAAAGGAAAAGGGTTAACCCTGAATTTGTGATTTCTTTTAATAGACATAGATACTGAAGTAAACCCTCCTAAGAGATGGGAAGAAAAAAAAATTGAAAGTATTAACAGAGGCTGAGACCTGAATTCTTGCTTTGAGAAAATATGTTATACAAACTAAAGGATTCTAAGACTGAGGGGAAAAAAAAAGTTTCAATCTTGCTTCATGAAATGAATGACCTGACCTTATTCCGGAATATGTAGGGAAATTCTAGCTGATATAGGGAGGACAAAATTTGGGGTACACCATTGAAAATAAAGTATTTCATCTTTAACAGTATTATCTTGTCAGTTGTGCAGAGCAAAGAAGAGTCTCTAGTGGTGGGGCTACATGGAGGATGGTACAATATCTAAAAATCAGCTATAATAAGCAAAAAGTGAACACAGCAAAAGAAACAAGAGAAAGATGTTACATGTGGTATCTACTGTATCTACATGTGGTATCTACTGGGTATCACCCAATCCCAAATAATGCTCACCTGACTCCATGGGTGGCTGTACTGAGGACAACTTGTAGTTAATTTTAACTGGTGCTGAAGAGCCGGGGTGGGAGTTGGGACTATGGTAAGTTTCAGTTCATAGGAAGTGCTCAGTAAATATGCATTCAGGTATGGAAGACGGAAGGAAGGAGGGAAGGGGAAAAAACAGGGAAAAAGGGAGGGAAGGAAAGAAGGGAGATGGAGCTTCAGCAGTGGAAAAGAGTGCCTACAAAGACTAATTTTGTTCCCATTGGGAGATATTTACTTAAAACTCTTAGAAAGCTCTCTCAAGCAAACAGCTTGAGAAACAAGTCTCAAAAATATGTATGTAATATGTATAAAAATATGTTTTTTATTATTCAAAATACTTTGATACAAAAACTTCATGAAGATAAATGGTGAACCACTCAAGGTACTCAGGGTAACCTTAGGAGTTGAAAGAAGACACACAGAGGTCATTAAAAGGACCAGATTGATTATTTGAGAATTAATGATTTCACATGTAAAATGACATTGAATACTGTGGAGGAAAGTGAATGTAAGTCAGGTTACAGAGAAAATAAGAATTTTCAAACAAAAATAATACAATAGGGAATTCTTTTATCTGTGTTCTTAGATTTAAACTACACAAATTTTTCTCTTCATTGTTCTCTCACCATTTATTTTAGAAAATAATTGGAAATATATTTTATAAACAATTTAACTGTTCTTTATTTATATGAATAGCTCTTTTTCTATTACACATTGCATATTCAGGTACACCTATTGTAACTGCCTTGATTATAACACCATGGGGATAATTTCATATTATCGTTATGGCTTAAAGGAATCCATTAAATTTTCTCTCCCTCTCTGTGGAACTTTTACCCCCAATGTGACAACTATCAGATTGAACTATAAAAAGCATTTGATAAGAAAAAATGTAATTAGACAGAAAGTTATTTGCATTTAAAAGTCCTCTCTGCCCACAAAACTGGCTTGCTTTAAGCTTAATAGACACAATCATGTGAGTCTAGAAATGAAGCAAAACTTTTAAAAGCTCTTCTCCATCAATCACATTTCTTTATAGCACATTTTCTTAAGGAACATATTTAATTAAGTTATTAATATCTCTCCATATGTAAAACAAGACTTTTAAAGCTCCGCCTCCATCAATCACAGTTCCTTATAGCACATTGACTTAAGTAAGACACACAGTTATTAATATCTCTAATTTCCATCCAGATTCTTTATGGCAGTTGTTACAATGTGCTATTTTAGCAATATGTCTGGCCTGAATTAGGAGTAGTGACCATATCCATTAAATTGAGGAATGCTCCATTTCTAAGGGTATCAGACATGGCCCTGACCTTAATAAGGTACTCCAAATTACCAAGCTTACTGCCAACACTTAAAAAATGAAATTACTTCTTCCTGGAGCATCCTGTAGTAACAGAAAGTATAGAAGTGCTAACAAACAAACACAAACATCAAAAAAAAAAAAAATCCCGTAATGATGAGTGTATTTCAAAGAGGGTCAAATGAAAGAGCTACCAATAACTAAAGCTTTAACGATTGGCAAAACAAGGTAAACAATGCAGTATAAGATTAATTCCAGAGTATAAACTAAGTAATCATGAGATCATATTTACATAATATAATTAAACAATTGAGTAAATTAAAAAGTAGGGGAAAATAGACAAATCTGTTTAAATTCCAAATAAACTTTTATCTATTAAATAAAAGCATAATTAATGCACGCAACAAACAACTATAAAGAACCCTGCATTTGATCTTACTTTGACGTGTAATTTTATTTCAGATATGAAAGTCTTTCATTTTCAGTGGTCCTTCATTTTGTTTTGCTAACATATAGCAGAATTGTTTATGTTCATTGTTTAGTCACAGACTAGAGGTTATTTTTTCAAGTGTCATACAGAATAAAGTGCACAAATCTTAAGTGAATTTTTCAAATGCATAACCATATCCTCTTTATCTATTCATTTGTCAATAGTTGGGCTCCTTCTATTCTTTGGCTATTGCAAATAATGCTGCTATAAACACTAGGATGCATGTATCCCTTTGAATTTGTGTTTTTGCATTCTTTGGGTAAATACCCAGTAGAGCAACTGCTGGATGGTAAGGCAGTTCTGTTTTTAACTTTTTGAGGGGCCTCTGTACTGTTTTCCACAGTGGGTGCACCATCACTGATTTCTCTTGAATATTTATTTACCTTATATTGGAACTGCTGGATGATAAAGTAAGCTATATTTAATTTTAGTAGATAGTACCAAAAGTTTTCTAAAATGATTGTATTATTTTTTCACATACAAACAATATATAATTTCCAGTTATCCTACATCCATAGTAAAATTTGATGTTATCACTCTTTAATTTTAGCCATTAGTAGGTATGCAGACATATATTATTGTTTACAAAATCTTTCTCATTGTAATTTTATCTTACTTTTTCCCAGTGATTACTGTTGTTAGGCACATCTTTATAGGATGACTGATCAGATGAATATCCTGTTTGGTGAAATGCCCTATCAAGGTTTCCTCATTTTTTTTTTTTTATGTTGTTGGAGTTCTTTTTATAGTCTTGACATGAATTCTTTGTTGGGATATATATTCTAAACATCTTCTCCCCATCTGTGACCTGCCTTTTCACTCTCAGGGTTATCTTTTATTTTTTATTTTTTTGGTTTAACTTTATATATACAGAGTTTGGTATATATATATATTTAAATATGGTTTAAATATAATTTAAATATGGTTTAAATATATATTATATATATAGAGAGAGACAGCGCACTTCACAAAGGATTTTTTTAAAAGATTTTATTTGTTGGATAGAGAGATCAAGAGCGAGCACAAGAAGCAGGGGGAGCAGCAGGCAGAGGGAGAGGGAAATTAGGCTCCTGATGAGCTGGGAGCCCAATGCAGGACTCGATCCCATGATTCTGGGATCATGACCTGAACTGAAGGCAGATGCTCAACTGACTGAGTCACCCAGATGCCCCTGGCTGCACAAAGGATTTTTTTTATTAATTTTTAAAAGATTATTTATTTGAGAGAGAGAGAGAGAGAGAGAGAGAGAGAGAGAGAGAGACGAGCTGGTAGGAGCAGAGGGACAAGCAGACGCCTTGTTGAGCACAGAGCCCAATGGAGCTCGATCTCAGGACCCTGAGATCATGGTCTAGCCAAAGGCAGACGTCTAACCAACTGAGCCACCCAGACAACCCACAAAGGATTTATTTTAACCATAAATCAGTACTTAGGAATCATGCAAACTCTGAGACCCTGGGAAAGCTTAAGCAATATTTTTTATTATTATTTTAAAAATAGTAATATTTTAAGGCAACCTGAAGCAC